GTCAGGTATCAATTTATCTTCAAAAAATTTCATACTTCTACTTTCCATTCCACTGAACTTTTTCAAATAATAAGATCTACATGACTTTTTACCAAATCGTTCTCTCCTATCACTGAGCCATATTGATTTATGCAGGTATTCATACAGGCAAATACGAGGTGAATACGAGAACATACCAATCAGAAGACTTCCGAAATATCAATAGTGAGAGGTGAGTACCTTCTCAGTGAATTCATTGTAATTTTAAATATATTTCATATTGATGAAATAGCAATTGGCGACCACTGCCTTATACGATACCTCCTTTTGGCCAAAGGGAGTTGGATTCAAAAGATTCGACTTCAAGTGATACAATAACTACAATAGAACAAGTTAAGAAAACAATTTTGTAGCATAAGTCATCCCAATATAGAGACAAGTGAAGCACTGAAACTGGAACGTGTACATTTTATGTTAACTTCCAAAGTATCAGAAACAAACAAATCCTAATAGAAGTAGAACTTGATCATTACTCATATCCACAGAAACTTGGCTATTAGGAAATGAAAGAGGGGTTGTTTTCCAATTGAAAATTATCATTTGGTGAGTAGTTTTTGTCGTAACATATATCGAGGAGGAGGCACTGCATTATGGGCAAAGAAAGGTTATGAAGCAACTCCTATTTCTCTATATCGTATATGTACTGAAAAAGGCTTTGAGTTCTGTGGTGAAGGCTTCAAAGCCCACAAAATATTTTCCATTTATAGATCACCTATCGGTAATTTCCAAAATTTCTTATACAAACTCGAGATGCATTTAAATGAAATATTCTCAGTTAGTTCACAAATTGGGTCAGCTGAGACTTCAACATTGACTTCAATATTCCATCTATAGAGTCCGATATTATTTTGAATATCACTAAACAGTTTGGACTAAGATCGATAGTAAATGACTATACAAGAATAACCTCATACTCGAGAACCAAAATTGATAATGTTTTTTTTTACAAATGTACAGGCGATCTCTTCAGTAGTAGACACACCTATTTCTGATCACAGACTCATTATTACCTCCGTTAATAAATCAATGTCGAACCTCGCTCCGACAGAAATATCTTTTAGGTACAAAAGATTTTTTTTCAACAACAATAAGCAGCACATGACAGAATTATTCGATTCTGAAAGTAGGTCTATGTTTATGATGCAAAATTCTGCGATGACAAATATAAAAACTTTATCAATATTCTGACATCTCACTTCAATATAGCATTTTCATTGAAACACTTCCACAACAAAAGTAAAGCTAGCAACACCTGGGTCTAGGAGGAAATAGAAACCTCTAGTTCATTATTGAAGGATCTATATGCTCTTCAAAAATACCACCCTGATCTAAAACCTATGTATATAAACAAAGGCTCACTGAACATAAACATCTTACTGAGAACGTTAAAAAGTTACATTTCAGTAACGTCATCCAACATTCAGAAAACAAAAACAAGGCCTCCTGGTCACTCATCAATAAACTTGAAAATAAGGAAAATTCCATGCAACCTAATATACAAATTCTGCAGGGGAATGAACAACCCCTCAAAAAATCATTAATTACATTCCAAAAATCCCCCTTGAAGATTCTGCAGATATACCCAATAGAACCTTACAACGCTTCTTTCATTCACAGAAAATGATATCTTTGCGAAACTCAAAAACAATCATTCCGCGTGACCTGACGACCTTCCTTGCAATGTAATCAAAGAATTCAGCTCACTGGTCACCCATATTGTGAATTGTTCTTTCGAGACAGGCACAGTCCCTACTCAACTCAAAACATCAAAAGTTATACCTGTGAAAAAAAAAACTGGAGAAATAAATTGAATAATTATAGGCCAATCTCTCTAACACCATCATTTTCCAAAGTTTTTGAATATTGCCTTGCTAGAAAGGCTCAATCCTTTCATAGAGAAATTCAATCTAATACCAATCGAACAGCATGGATTCAGAATAGCACGGTCAACTACTACATACAGCTACTACTGAGTCTATAAACAATATTCTGGAAGAGCTTGACAAAAGAAAATGTCCAATTGGAGTATTTTGTGACTTGAGGAAAGCCTTTGATTGTTCACCACACAATCGGCTACTAGACAAACTCTGGGCACTTGGCATTAGAAGAAGAGTATTAGAGGAGAGTTCGGATCGTTTCTTGCAGATAGAATCAATATATATCCTTATCTCATAACGAGAGAGGTCTTATCACTACACAGTACTCCAGTACACTACTTGTGAAAGTAGGTGTTCCCCAAGGAAGTGTAGTAGCTCCAATTCTGTTTTCTCTATATCTGGCAGGCATTGTGAATTATCTATCAGACGTATTCCAAAAACACTTTATTGTGAGATTTTCACTAAATTGTTTTACAAAAACGCAACACGTGTTTCGCCATACAATGGCTTCATCTGGCGTGTCTTTCAACTAATTCTACACATTCAATACTAAATATATATATATAGTTTATGGAGTACCTGAAATGTGGAGGAATTATGTATGATAATGTCCGTGTACGATGGTTTGTGGAAAATTGCAAACTCATGTTTATTGTTATTTTTCGTAATGGTTAAGTCCAGGTAATCTATCAGAATTTTAAAGTTATCCTGTATGCAGATGATCTATTAATCTTGGTATCTAAAGAATCTTATGATTCAAATGAACAAGCTGTTATTGATTTGATGCATGAAATTGCAAAATTGTTTTCAAAAAATAAGCTGTATATAAACCCAATGAAACCTGAATTTCTTATCTTCCATACAAGACAAAAACAAAGTGAAAATATCAACCTGACCTTAAACAACACTACAGTGAACCGTAATACCTATATTAAGTTCTTAGGTCTGAATATAAATGATAAACTAAATTGGGAAACCACATATCTAATCTAATAAAAAATATTAACACCAAAATATTTCAAATACGCTATATGTATAAGGTCCTGACAACTCCAGTAATGAAAAACTTCTATTTTGCAGAAATTCAGTTAACACTGACATACGGAATCATAGTATGGGGACAATCAGCTGCTGTCAAACGTCTCTTCATTACACAGAAAAAGTGCACTCGTGCCATGTTTCACAAACCCCAATCAGAATCTAGTAGATTTCTCTTTACAAAGCTACAGGTATTACCCCTTATTTGTTTTTACATATTGGAAACTGCAAACAGTAGAACAAATAAAAAAGGATATGAATATTGAAATGAAATCTGAATTTGAAAGTTGTTTAGAGAACTTTAAAAAATTGGCCACCTTAGTGGAAAAGGTTGCAAAGCTAGAATCTGAGCAAGTAAAAATGAAGCAAAGTGTCGCAATTCAATCACCATAATTCGTTGAAGTGAAAGACATGATTGCAGAACTGATGGATAGGCAACAAAGAACAAGTAATATTATTTTCAATGTCAATGAATCCAATAAACAAACACAGGCAGAGTATAATGCTGAAGACATGTACAGTGTGATAAAATTTTGAAAGACTATGCAATGAACAAACAAGGTTTGAAATTATTTAGATTAGGTTCAATTAAGTTCAATGAGTTCAATTTTGCCAAAAGTAGGCCAAAAAAGTTACATTGAATTCTCCATATGATGTGATCTATGTACTTAGAAATAAGCCCACTGATTTGCCTAGTACTAGAATTCTGTCAGATAAAACAAGAATGCAGCAAGAATATACTGGATCTCCATGAAATTGAAAAAGCAAGCACAAGTCGCGTATGAAAGAACATTTTGAAATTTTTAGAATGTAATGGACATTTCCAGCATTTATTGTAAAAATGTGATATTTTGTTAACAATTTTGTTATTTTTAATCATCCTAAATCTGACATTTTCTGTACTTTCACATGTTATAGCTCAGGAAATCTTACTTTTTACCTAGAAATGCCTGATTTTTGGTACATTTGTTCCCTGGAAACTTTGAGCCATAGTTAAAAAAATTATTTTGTAACCTTACAAACTTCCTCTCGTCCATTTGACTTAATGCAGGATACATTTGGTTGAATTTTCTGCAATTTCTGGCAATTATTTGATTGCTTTGTTCATGTGTAATAAATAATTTCATAAGAACTTCGTTTGAATAATCGATATTTGCATTCATTTTAGAAGATGTTTTGAAACACCGTCAATAACCATTTGTAAATTACTAATAAAAGTAACCAAAATGTTTGTTATAAGCTCGATAATTCCACTGCTACCTAAAACCAAATACTTGAAAAAATAATGATTACAGAAGTGACTTTATTAAGTAAACTTTATGATTTAAGTATAGTGAAGCATTTTAAATCACCTTTCAATTTATCGAGTAATATACAGGGGTTTCTTTTGAAAAAATGAACTTTTGACAACTTTTATGCATAATGGAAGTAATAGTAATTTTAGCACGCCCTGTATGATATGGGGTTGATTAAATATTTCGAGTTTGTCCAAACTAACATCAAAATATTAACTTCTCATGAATTGAGAGTACTGACATACTTAAGTTCAATTAGGGCTGTATTTAGCACAATTTTTTTTTATCTCAAAAACCGATAGAGACAGGTATAGGACATTATCAACAAAAAAATATTATAATATAACAGAGCTTCCAAAAATGTGTTGAAATATGGAGTGTTCTATTTAAAAAAATTAAGTTGCTAGGACTTTTTGATCGAAGTGGCAACGACGAAAATATTTTAGATCTATAGAACAGGTAAGGAAATGTAAGATGTTTTCAGAAAAATCCTGTGTGGCGTTCACCATAAACGTCTAACCTACCATCCACCGTAAGTCACGCTCTATATAAATTCTACTGTATATACTTTCATAGATATCAATTACTTTGAATTATTCTACCTTCAAAATATCAGAAGAACTTGCCTATTCAGTATATCCACTTAAAAACTTTGGAATTATCTTCAACATTGCTTTTTTTGATTTGATTTAAAACTAGAATATGAAACTTTGAAATTGAATTTCAGGTATACAAATCTTACCCAGGATATTTCAACTGGTGTTCAAGTTGTGCTTGTCGTGCTGCAGAATAATAAGACTCTCTTGTTTCTGAACTCAATGATTTCCATAAGTTGCCAAGTTTAACGGATATGCTTTTACTGTTGTCTCCTGAAATAAAATATTTAGTCATATCACTGTGTTTCAATTTACATGATCAATAGTTTATTGTTACGAACAAATATTACCATCTATAAAATTGATTGAACCAATAATAAAATTTAATTTTACAAAAATCATACATTTTATTGGAAAATTTTATATGGTACATTCACATCAAATTCAAAATTTTGAATTTTCGAACAAAAAATATAAAAATGAAATGGACATTACCTGGATGCTCCACCGACAATTTTTTTCGCCACTCATTTGCAAAAATCATGAAAGCATTTGCTGGTCGAGGAATTTTCTCAGGTTTTACATCTATTGTTTCTTCTATGGCAGGTACAGTCGAACCCACCTCTTTTTTTTCAGAAACATATGTTAAACCACTTTTTGGTATATCTTTAAAATTTGCATTTTCCAATATCCCAATATTTTTTTTCACTTCCTTATCTTCCCTGGATACTGATTTGTTATCAAGACAACTTTTCATTTCATGGGAAAATTCTTCCTGAAATTGAAATGATATTAACCTATCTTCTTTTTTATACTCAGCATAATCTATTCAAACACATACCTTGAATACAATCTGAGATTTTGGTTTCTTTTTCACAGGTTGTTCAGAATCGCTGAGTTGTGCTAATCTAGTTTTCATATTCTTCTCAAATGAATTAGTGTTTTCTGAATTATGGGAAAAATGTTCATCCTCCACCACTTTGGTTATTTGTTTGCTTTCTATTTCTGTTCTATTGGGTGTGTTATTATTTACTGACCTAGGAGAAACACTGGGTGTTTGATTGGAGTGACCTTGATTGGAGTTTGTACTTCGAAGTTTTGGGCTTGTAGCTACTGCCGTACTCTGAGGAACACTTTTAGATTCCTCTGGTTGTAAACTATGTTTAACTTTGACAGAACAAAGACCCTTTACCTGGAAATATTCTCCTAATGCTAAAACACCTTCGAGATCAGAATCTAAAACTTTTATTTCTCCATGATATATAAATTCAATGATGTGACGCAGATGTGCCAACTTGATTCCATTCATCACAATAAACGGATTTGAAATATTACCATAGGCCTTAAACATTTCCTGAAATAAAAATGTATATGCAATGACACAACTTATCAGAAATTGAAAATAAATAATGAACAGTAGCTTTGACTTGAAATGTAAAAATTATTTTTAGGCATAAACTTCTTATTCATTTTTGCTCTTATACTAATTATAAAGAAACAATTATCAAAATTTTTGTGTGGTACAAAATTTTTGTGTGGTGGAGGATTCTAGAACAAAATTATAAGTGCAAAAAAATTAAGGATACTGTATGAGAACCTAAGAATGGGTGATTGAACAAAGGGGGTTGAGTCATTTCTTTGAGATCTTGAAGTACAGTTAGTGTTCTTATCTGAGGATATACACACATTTTGATGTGAAAAGAAACATCAGGTTCTCATTATAAGTGTGTGTTTTCAGCTTTGATACTTTTCAAATGCATGGAAAAAGGAACCCGAATCCATTGGCAAGAAATGAAACTTCAGCTGAAGAGGATGAATAAATTGAATCTGATGAACAGAACAAGTCATCTTTCAATACTGTTCGTTACAAAGTTTTAGTGCTAGGTTTCTACATGGCTTAACATTAGGTTTAATAAAGATTTGTATACGTTTTTCTTGATAATTGTCCAAAAAACCTGCTTCAACCTACGTAGTTCATTGTTTTCCTTACCCGAATAGGAAAATTGTTGATGACTGGTGTTGAAAAGTACCTTATTTATAGAACACTTAAAACGGATCTCATATTTGTGCATTAAGTTGTCAATGGCTATAATGATTCTCCGAAATAGTCAAACAATGCACTCTTTCTGTAAATACTGAAAGGAATAGAAATAATGAATATTTTCAAAGTTCCTTTATGTAGAAATTATAGTCAAAATGAGACAATTTTTAGGATTTTGAAATAAGCAAATCACCACCATTCCAGCCTGGAATTGTTAAATACATCTTACAAATAATCTTTTTAAAATCCATGATTGTTAACTCCCTGAGCATATCAACATCTGTAAAATTTCTTGTAAATTAGTATGACTCTTGCAAAAATAATTATATTGCACTGAAGACTATTTCTAAATTCAAACATGAATGCGGTTCAAATAAATTAATTAATTAATTATAAGATCATTAGTGTTGGAAATGATGCTCTGTCAAATTAGAGAGGTTTTAACAAATATATATTTAATGAAAATCAACGTACCTGAAAGAAGCTACTACAAGCAGACAGAATTAGTTTGTGTGCCCTTACATATTGTCCTTCGCAGATGAGAACTACATCTACCAGTATTTCTTGGTGCTGGTGTTCTGAAAAAACCTGTATCAAATTGTTGGAATAATTATTCCAACGCAAATTATAATGTTCGCCCATTTTTTCAATATTTAGGCGCAGTCACATTTGGTTCAATATTTTGCTCGATTTCTCTTTCAGACATTTATTAATCGTGTTTAGTAGCCTTTAACTTGAAAAACAATTGTTGGTCGTTAGTGTTTAGATTTCTGTTCTTAGTGATTCCATGAAGAAAAACTAACCTCACAAAAGTTATTACAAAATACGATCACATACTTCACATGAACACAGAAACAAGGGTTACCACCTGACCGGATTTAATTCGTGAGGCGTACTCGGGTTGGAGACAATTTTTTAACGGTTCAAAATAGTTACACGGCTGGGAAAGAAAGGTATCGGCTCTTTACTTCTTCATCTTTATTGAGAATGGATCAGCTAATGACTTCTCCAGAATTATTTTTGAAAATGTTTTGGGCTGTAAGAAGGCCATCTTGATAACTAACCGTCGTAAAGAGACCATTATAATTGAAACGAAAGCTATCTTGTTTTCAATTTTCAACGTTACTCCACGTAAACTCACCTTGCAAAAGAGAGTTACTTGTTTTGCATTCAAAAAAGATGAAGAGAATATCTTCCTGAGAAGAATTATGAAATGAAAAATTACTTATTATAGTGAAATTTCATTTAATAGAAATTTTGAGGTGTATATAACGAAACAGGTATTTCAATATACCGAAATTGAATGGAATCTAAACAAAATATCCTCAATTTTCTTCCCTTATTATTCATATGAAAATCTCTTGCGAATTGAACAATTTCATTCATGTTGGCAACTTTGACATAATCAATGTTTCGCTGTTTTATTCCCTAAGTCACTGCAGTGTGGTTATCCTCACTGGGACTAATTTCACGACGTTTCGGCAAAGTCTCATTTGCTTTCGACTGGTAATGGTACCTTTGATGTTCGGAATTAGACTGACCTTGCTCAAATCTAGTTCTTCCTATATAGCTTAAGCTTAGACAAGAGAAGCTATATATGTATTTGAGGAGCACATAAACAAACATACAACATGGCTCCCTCTACTGCGCATGTCTCCCGTCAAGTGTGCATTATTTGACGGGGGAAATTTGAAATATATAGGTATCTGATGGTGAAAACTTACTTTTCTATAATTCTATCATGCCTAGCAAATTAAACTTAAAACAACTTGAAGCAATGAAATAATTTAACAGCTTTCATAGCACTGATCTTTGTGTTTTATAGGTGTCAGTCGAAATAAAATGCACTTTATTATTTAAATTTATTACAAATAGGCTTAACAAAAAAATAATGTAATTCTACTAATTTCAATTCAAAAACCATTTAAAAATAATTTTGATCTTCTGCAGGATTCTTAGAAATATTAAGTTCTTGCTGCGACTGCAGACTTTCTTTCATATTCAGATATTCCATTGTTGTCACCCTTTTTACACCTCCTTATTAACAACTCTTTCTTTTTTAGTTGAAACAAACTGAAGTTGCTTTTTAACTTTTGTATTTGCAGGTTCCTTATTGATAAACTTACTATATACTTTTTTGTGTTATTTACTTGCAATAAGTGGTACACATTATTGAGTTGTTTAAGAGAGTGCTGCAGTGCATCTGGATCAGATAATTCTTGATTTATGCTATTGATTTCCAGGCATTTCTGTTCAATTCATTTGGCTGTATTCACTTTCTCCTCACGTTGATTATTGCTACAGTTAACAGAAGATGCCGAGAATACCAAGTGTATTTAAATGAATATAAACTTCTTCGCTCAATTTTACCCCTTCTGAATGAGTTTGATTTTTTAGAACCGGGTTAGATTGCGAGCTTATATTAAATACATTTGTATGTATTTATAGTACAACATAATGAATGTGTTTACATATGGCGAGCCTTACAAAATAATCAACACATATATTTGAAAGCATGTATACAAATATTACAAAGGACGCATCTGAGATTACAGCACATTAAGTTTTCAACTGCATTTTTAGTAACAATATAAGAATTTTTGTTATCAGAAATGGTGCAACTTCCATTATCATCATTCCTTTTGAATTCACTGTTTGTAGCTTTCATATGTCTTTTGACAATATTTGAAATATGTGTGTTTTTTCCTTTGATATTTTTATTATCCTTTCAATAATTTTATCTCTGATAGACGGGAGACATCAATCAATGTTTTTACTGTTTCCGTATAAATCCATAATTGAATAATATTAAAAACACGTCGATGATAGTCACAAACGTTTATGGCATCCGGCATAGCGATACGATCAGAGAGCACCCCTCTATGGGTATTCAGGACATCGTTTACATCTTGTTGAGACAGCTTCATATTCGTGGTATCATTGGAAACAGAAATTTGTTTGTTATTACTTTCGATGTACCGTGTGATGTAAATGTAATTTCCGCAACGTTTTGTGATTGGATCATACTCATCTACATACTCATTGATATGTGATTTAAAGAAATTTTCCTTTATCGTCTGCAGGATGTCAATGAAGGTTGGTAATTCATAATTTATTAAATTGATGGAACAAATGGAGAATTGTTGCTTCAAAATTATGGATGGGCTAAAGTCTCTGGATGGCCTTGGGCCGAATTTCATAAGATTCCATGGGGAATGTCATCAATAGCAATTGGTGTTCGTTTCAAGCAGTCACTTCGTACTGCCTCAACGCTCTGTCGATTGCACTTAGAGTTTCATTGTAATCCTCACCATCACTATCACACATTACTTCAACTTCACTAGCGTAACCACTATCGAGAAACATTTTTGTTTTCAAACTGAATATCCATGTGTGTTTACATGCGCTCTTATAGCGTGGTCAATTTCAGATATTATGTGTGTGTGTGTGTGTTTGTGTGTGTGTGCGTGTGTTGAACACAAATATTTCTTTACAAAAGGACCTCCCAATACAATTTCAGTGTGGTTGGTTTCCTTAAGATTCCATATAATATCGACGTTTTCGATCCAACTGTTATGTTTGTTATCCAAACCTAACCATTTAAAGTACATGTTTTTGCATTTTTTCCTCAACAATTTTTCCACAAGATATATATCAGGATTTGCATTTTTGAGTTATTCTTTCCTATAGAAAGCACCCCTAATAGATGCACCTTTCATATCTTCTAGCATAAAGGTGACAGAGTTAGTAATGTTGGATGATAATTTTGAATAATTCCGTACCTAGTCCAATTGGGTGTATCACCCTTGTCGAAAACGTGTTTTGCCTTACTGATTCGCACAACATCGCCGACTTTGAATTTCTTCGGTCTAGCTATTTTCAGGTGGAAGTACCTATGTTGATTCAAGTATTTGTTTTTCGTTGGTTTTGTCGATTGTAGGATTTTCTGATTTCAGACAAGACATTCAACCGTTTGCAGGTGCCATTCATACTGAAATATTTGAAAAGTCTTTCTTTCAACACAGCTATTCATTTTTAATTATTCTTTTTTAGTTGTTTCAGGGATTTCAAATCATTTCATATAGTAGACAATGGAAGTCCGAACTAGTGAAATTCGTCCTAATGATATGTTCAGCCATAGAGACCCTAGTGATGTTGTGTGATTTATTTCATGTTTTTTTCATCAAAGTTCAAAATTTATTGTTGTAAAATTCTGTTCCTTGATCAGTTTGTACATTTTTGGATGACGTTTCGTATGTTCCAAAATATCTGCAAACGTTTTGGTGATTTCTTCTCCCGTTTTCGATGTCAGCGGTGAAGTCCACGCGAATTTCAAAAAACAGTCTATGACGACTAGAATGAGTTTGAAATTTTGATTTTGGTGAGCGTACGATCTCATGTCAGCCAAGAAGTCTATCTGCCATAAATCATCCAGTGCCTTGATAATGATACGGAGTTGAGGGATATTTTTTCTAATTGGTTTATGCAGCTCTCGGACAAGTTGAATCTTGTCACTGTAAAACACTGTAAAACAATTGGATTTAGTACACTGAAGGAAGGTTTCGCCGATTTTTTCTTTCTTCTTTTTTGTTGATGGCGAGCTCCAAATTTTTAACATTCTGACCCATTATAGATATTTTATCGATCGAATTATCTTTAGCCCAGTGTTTCATGACATATTTGTGTGATAGGGGTGGATAATAATAATACTCGTCTTTATTATTTTCAAATAAATATTAAAAAAAAAGAACAAAAATAGTGATAACTATCCTAGATACTTTTGAAAATAAAAGGCGAAGTTTATTTTTGGTAAGTGTTAGACACCACCAAAAATATCCTTCCATACTATTGCTCCAAGCCCTCCATCATACTCTCCTCTGAAATATTATCTATTGATAATGGTGGTAGTGATGGTGACTCGAGGAATACCTCATCATAATTACTATCTTTTCCCGTTTCAATAACATCTCCAAGTGGTGAAAATTGTGTTTCTTCAAGTGCTCGAGATTGATCGAATGGTTCCATCATTTCCTCTTTCTTCTCCTTCTTCTTGGTGACACCACCACGTCTCAAATGATCTACCGTTGTTTTAGAGATTTCAGCTATATCCTTTAGTGCTCTCGATATATTTGGAAAAACTTTTAGAATGAGTCATCCTCTTCAGACTTTCCCAATTTCAGAGCTAGATACTTTTTTCTTATACTTTTTTAAATATCAATAATGTTGTTCTTGCGCACAACATCGACTTCTTTACTGAGCGGTTTCATATCGACAAATAACGTTTTCATGTCTCTTTACACACACTTATGTACTTGTCGCGCCAACATTCGACACACATTCTCTTGAATTGATCGAAATACATGTCGAGAAAAACGTGTTCATCGAATACATGTTCATAAATACAATCATGTTGCAATTGTCGCGTATCAGTTGTTTGGGTATCCACACCCTGATGGATCACATATGATGGCGTGAATGGAATTGGGCAACAACTTGCCGTGTTTATTTCCATACATGACACCATCATCCAAATAGTCCAAGGTGTTTATTGGTAATGTATTGTCTTGCGGAACGACCTCCATCTTCTGATCGGTGGTTGGGCGATTCATTTCAATATGTAGCGTGCACATTGACGTCATTCCAAATGTTCACTAAGGATACACTACAAAAACACACTTTTGTCTATTTTCCACGATATATCTATATTGTTGACTAGTTTCGGCTATTACACCATTTTCAAAACTAACTGATTACATTTAAATCTGGGTAATTTATACCTAAGTTGCCTATCCTACCATATCATAATAGTCCTCTTCTGTTTCCAATGTTGACTCATCACGAAGAAGGTATCGTCAATACGCTAATCAATAA